ACCATCATGTTATGTGTGCAACCATCATGTTATGTGTGCAACCATTATGTTATGTGTGCAACCATCATGTTATGTGTGCAACCATCATGTTATGTGTGCAACCATCATGTTATGTGTGCAACCATAAGTTGTTTTTGAATGAAACTAGAATAAACAATGTCGAATACCATATATGATTAGGAGTGTACCATTATAAACTCTGGGGGAGGGATGATGGTGAAAAAACGGTGCAAGTTTCTTTTCCTTCACTTAGTTGTGTGCTATTTTTCTGTTTCTGTGATTTTTTATACAAGTTATTTTTTTTATTCTGCTATCGCCCTCGAGTTTTTAATTGGTCAACCCTTCAGATAAAGCAAATTAGTATAAATAAGACAATAGAAATCTTGTATTAACTACTGTGTCACGTGACTGAAAAGTAATTTAATTCTCATGCAACTTTTAATACTTAACACGAATTAAACACAGTCATTACGACATCATATTATTAACTACTAACCCCGGCTTAGAACATTTTAATTTTTATATATTCAACAATTCCACAATTATAATCTTGAATTGCAGGTATATCTCTGTATAATAACATTTGACATTTCAAAACAATCTTTGACTTTTTGGTTGCAGTTTTTGTAATGCGTTTACTATTGAAACCTACCACCGAGAAGACAATTCGGTGTCTGAAACAACTGCACCTCCTCTGAATAAAAGCATTGAATCGCAGACGAATAAAGATATTGTACGTATGCCGCCATAGACTATATTATGTTAGAAAATTATATGCAGAATTGAATGATGTATGCGGGGTATTTGCATTGCAATAACTTACCAGCTTTCGGCCTAAGGTTATATACTCATTGACATTTCATATGAAGTCTGTGTGTCACCGAGTAATGTGCTTTCAGAGAATAATTCAAATTAGATTTTATATTAAACACCAGATAGTTGTCTCTTCTGGGTTTTCAGGCAGAACTGACTGAAAAGTGAACTTCGACCAAAAAAATATATTCCACAAATAAATAAGCGTCACAGTCTGAACTTAAAAACGATGATTTAAATTATTCAGATATTCGTCATTTTGACTATACTTGCAATGGTCGATATTTAGTATTTTACATGCTTATTGATAACTGGTCACGCACTGATGTGATTATTTTGTGATCAATGACGAACATGAACTCTCGGAAATTGGTAACTGGACATGATCTGGTCTTATTATGACCAATAGTTACCTGCATTCGCGGAAACTCATAATTGGATCTACTGACACACTTTACATGGGAATCAGAAAATAATATTTAAATTTGATATCTCATTGCTGACAGCTAGAAGTTAAATTAGGGGAATAATGTTATATATATTGGCATGAGTTGGGGTAAAAAACATTTTTTACAAATATTTCAGCGCCGTTACAACATATTACAGTACTGTACTATATATTACAGCATAGTTACAACATATTATGGGACGATTACAACATATTACAGTACATGTACATAATTTTACAGTTTGGTTTTATAAATATATATCACAGGACAGTTACATTTTACAGTCAGAAATATTTCAGAACAGAACACTTACAATATAATACAGAACAGTTACAATATATTACAGTACAGTTACAACATATTACAGTACAGTTACAATATAGTACAGTACAGTTACAATATAGTACAGTACAGTTACAATATATTACAGTATAGTTACAATGTATTACACTACAGTTACAATATATTACAGTACAGTTACAATATAGTACAGTACAGTTACAATATAGTACAGTACAGTCACAGTATATTACACTACATTTACAATATATTACACTACAGTTACAATATAGTACAATACAGTTACAATATAGTACAGTACAGTTACAATATATTACACTACAGTTACAATAGATTACACTACAGTTACAACATATTACACTACAGTTACAATATATTACACTACAGTTACAATATAGTACAGTACAGTTACAATATAGTAAGTACAGTTACAATATATTACACTACAGTTACAATATAGTACAGTACAGTTACAATATAGTAAGTACAGTTACAATATATTACACTACAGTTACAATATATTACACTACAGTTACAATAGATTACAGTGTCAGTATTTGCAGAACGGTGAACAATTTATTTCTGACTATAGAATATCAACACAACAATGTAAGGTTAACTGAAAGACAATATAGATTATTCAAAATAAGATTTTACATAACATTAACAAAAATATGGTTTAGTTAGGTAATAACCACAATCACCCAGCAACTTTACACATCACATTATATCAACTAAAGGTGTTTATAAATTATGTGGTCAGAGATCAATTTATTACGTAATCGTCGCATTGACCATGCAATAATTCAAATAACAATACAATACAAGTAAGACATACTTTCTTCAATATCTATAGTTACCGCCTATATTCATTGTGGATTTAATAATAATAATAATTACGATATTCTACAATTAAATACAACTAATATTCATCATTATCACATGAAGTAAGTTATCGTACAAACTATCACTGCATTACATTCTGAAACTTGAAGGGCGACCGTTGTCGAATTTCATGTAAATAAACAAAGTTTGAAAACGCGTTATATACGTGGCATGGACCCAAAATCGAACAGAACGCATAGCGACCAACACCACGCTTTCACGTCATACCAAGAAAATACCACAACGATACAATAAAATACAAGGCATATTGTGATTAGCATAGATTGACACAATCAATGTGATGTAATTTTACATGTTAACGAGATAAGAAACACTTAAATTCCGTCTTAAGCAGGATGACGTGTAACCGGTGTGTAGTCGATATTGGTCACTGTCGACTACAGGTTGGTCTCATGGTCTCATTGACGCATCAACAATCATGAAAGATATAACTTGCTACCCAAGAGAAAACATCATTTTAAGTGACATTAAACTGACAATACAACCACTGTTAATCATATAATACAATATGTCTATGTGCAAAGAATTCGCTTTTGTGCTGGATTTCTGACAGACTTAAATTTCTATATAATTACACATGAATACTCATAACAGTCTTGTTTCTATGGCGTTCATTTCATTCTCTGAGCCTGCAATTGTGTTATACGAACGTTGTTTCCGTTTCTAACGAGCTTACAATAACTAATACAAATTTGAAATTAAAAATCAGAAAACCCGATTTTCAAGCTTCTTATCATTGTATTTCTTGTTTAAAATATACTTTTATAGTACAACGTGTTTTTTTTTATTTTATAAGTAAACCTAAATCGTTGTTTTGCAAAAAATCGGTTCCACGAACATTGCGAGAAACATGGTTATATTTTCGAAAAGTGAGTTGGTAAAAAAGTTGTTTAACAAATAATATCATGGATTTGACGTCGCCTTGATGCCAATCCTCTGATTTATAAATTGAGATTGAAATGTATATGTTGTGATATCTTAGTGATGACTGCCTTGAATCATGTAAATGCTGCACTCATAGGTAAATGTATACATATCTTAAGCATTCATATTCAAATAAGGCCTGCCGTGCCTAAAATGTCAATGATATTGAGTAAAGTGTGGAGTATGTCTAGCGACGAGCAATGCACATCAAACCCAGGCAGACTGTGTAACAGAATTGGTATACTCGTGTGTCTCGTCGCAAATTAGTATTCTTTAGCATTATAGCTAAATACTCAACAGTAGCTTTGTATTTAAACATAGTGGCGTTATGTGGACGATGTTAAAATTGTTCTACTTTTCTATACAATCGGTTGAATTATTCCCCGTTTATGAGAAGAGTTTTCACGCATACATCGTGTTAACATCGTTTTATCGCCACTCAATGGTTGGATAACTAGTCCCAAATAACAAATTTTATCTTGCTGCTGATTTTATTACATATATGTGATTTATATTTATATATTGATATGCCCTTCACTTCAACCCGATAGTATGTTTATACATTTCTTATTTTTATATTGTACACTTTTGAATTGAATACTTTACTGTAGCAACATTAATTGCCTTTTTCTGTTTATGCATAGAGTCCTACTATATTGTCTATGGTTTATGTCGTGTTTTAAAGGCGAATAAATAATAATCATTTTATATTTAATGATATCTGCAGCTACCCACTTAATGTTTTAACGACATCTTAATGGCATATGTGTTGTGACTTTCACACAGGATCGGTTCCTGTCGACCCCGCAGTCCGTTGTTCTGTTTCTTTGCTGCTTTGGTTTAGTTTCTTGCAACACAGTAATCTCTTATAGGCGCTTCTAAAATTTCTGTTCATCCACGCGTAAAGATACGGGTTTAACGATGAATTGAACCAGGCTAGCGCCGCGAATGTTCGATGAGCCTCTTTTGGAACAATCAGGTATCTGTCCGATAAATTAGCAAAACAGTAGGGTATCCAACATACGCAGAATACGGCAAAAATGAAAAATAGTTGTCTTGTTACCTTGAGCTCAGTGTTGCTCCATTTGCCATCGTTCTTATTTGTCGTTGTACCTTCAGTCGAATTAGATGTATTGTTCGCCTGTATTCCATTTTGCGCCACTGCCTGCACACGTTGCCGTGACAACCTTATTGCACGGAATGTAAGAAAGTACCCAATAAACATCATGACAACGCATGGTAAGACTGCAAACGCTAACACCGAACACAGAAACCACCATGTCAGCTCGTCGCCGTAGATATACGCACAGTAACCAATAGCACTATTAAACCCCAGTTTGCCAAATCCCATGACTGGTAGTAATGTCCATACGATACTGAAAACCCATGTCCATCCAACCCAAATATAGTTATTTCTCCTGCTGAACACTTTACGATAAGTTCCCGGCGGCCGCGTGATTAAAACATATCTGTTAATCGCTATTGTACTTAACGTTGTTATAGATACGCCAAACGTTGCTATAGTGAAGAAACCAATGATTTGACACCATGTATCCACGTGTGGCCACGTATTATAGTAAAGGGTATACATATACATTGGTTCAAAAAATCCACAGACGCAAAAATCAGTTACACTCAAGTTGACAACAAACAAGTTGGCAATGATATGCAAACGTGGTGTAGTTATTACAGCTGTTATCACGAGTATGTTGCCTACGATACCAGCTATACTGAATACTACTAGGAATAGTATATGTACAATTGTTAAAAGGTCTCCGTAAACTGGTTGCAAGCAACACGTCACGTTCACACTACTATTATCAATCCTGTGTGTCGTCGCCATTTCCTGCTCCGAATTATATCGAGTTAGTTGTTAGCCGCACGCGTTGCCGTCGCCGGTCGGTTCGTTTAATCACGCACTGAAACGACTGATTTGAAACCGAGTCTATTAGACGCCAGTCATCTTTACCGACCACGCTGTTAACGTATTATTACCCAAATAGCGTATGACGCCAAATTGATAGTAACAAAATTATCGATGTCCATTTAGCGACTCGCCATGCGTCGACTCTGTAAAATAGAAATATTGATAACGAGTGCGTGTGACCGTGGAAATATCACGAACAAGTTAACCTGAAGAAAAACAGTTGAATGAATTGTCAACTGACAGTATATCGCTAGAACCCTCGCTACCAACCTAGGGTTTGTCACATGACTGCCGAATAAAGAATATTAGTTCATCACCATTACCACCAGTACTTCAATAGAACCGCTGTATGTAATCTGTGTAAATGCATAAACCGCATTCAGTTATATAGCTATATGTTCAATACATGTCTACTTAAGAATTATTTTAAGCGTAATTAATTCCTAGATGTATATAAAAAGAGCTCAATTGACACGTACAAGAAAGATGAATATGATTACGAAGCCGTGGTTTGAATTATAAACATAAATTTGCTGCAGCATTATTACCAAAGATAACCAACAAGGCGAAACATTATTAAATTCGTGTTCGTATTAATGTGAATATACCAAAGATCGTTAAAATGGTATACTTACATTGCTTAGAAAGAGATATGCCCAACACGATCCTTAGTCGTTATTCTGGACGAGTGCGTTTTGATAGCGAGGTCGCAATGAGACGGAATTAAGAAAGAACAGTGAGCGAATGAGATCAACCGAGTCGTATATAATGTTTGTTGCTAGGAAACCATAACTGTGTGCTATTGGTCCGTCTTAGTTACTGTTTTTATGTTGCTACCTTCAGCTTATTAGATCTTTGGGGTGCGTCTCCAATCATTCATCGTCTTCACGGGCTCAGAATTAAACGTGATGTTTTTGCCGTGAATATATTACTTACAAATAAATATGGTGATATTCCTAGAATACAATGACACGGTGATAAAATAACACGTGTCTACTGATAATAATAATAATAATAATAATAATAATAATAATAATAATAAT